CAGATTCTTGGAGATGACATTTGATATTTTTGATATCTCTTATATTGTGAATTGTGATTAAGATGATTAATTATATATGTAGAAATTATTGTAAAAATATTTTTTTAAAAAATATAAAATTATTTATGATATGTTATAATCATCTGTGCACGGTACTTGTTGTATGTTGGTTTTCCTACTTGCCGTGGGTCCTTGTTTGGTTTTGTGTTCTGCTAAGAAGCCAGCAACCAAGTAGCAGCAGTGGCAGCCTGCCAAACTGACAGTCAGGTGGAAGGCACCTGTTTGCTCTTGTTTACCTGAAGCTTTCCTGCCCTTTGGTCCAGGTGAAAAGGAGTGGCACGAGCAAGCTGGTCTTCTGATAGCTTCTTTCAGCAGCCTGCTCTGCAGGCATACCAAGGCATTGCTATAAAGGGGGGCACTAATGCATCTTCCCTGCTTTATAAACTATGGGGAGGAGAACATACTTCATTTCATTTCCCACCACTCCCAAATTCATTCTCCGTTGTGGCCAGTATTCCCTCTAAGCTGAGTTAGTGTGAGCTAGCTCACAGTTTTTTAGCCTCCTGCTTACACATTTTTGGTCGAATCTGCATTTGTCTTTCCCATCAGTGTCCCAGCCTTCTGACTCCATCTTCAAAAAAGCTGTCTACATTTGGTTTCATTTTCACACCTCAACAGTGCTAGCATACTTTTGCATGTCCACATATGTTTATCACCTTCTCGTAGTGGCTCCACTGTCATTGCGCCTCCCCACTGCTTTAAAAGAATCTTCTCCAAACAACGTTCAAACAAGCATAGAGAAAGATGGCGTCACAGCAGCATGAAACTGATTTAAAAATACAAATACAGATTTGACCACTGTCTCAGTTCAGGAAGGATGGCTCCAGAGCAAACTAATTTATGCAGTAGCCAAATTGCTCGCTCACAACTTTAATGCCAGTAGCTCACAAAGTAGAATTTTTGCTCACAAGACTCCACAGCTTAGAGGAAGCATTGGTTGTGTGGCTGCCAGTTTTCTTTGGAGAAGAATGAAAATAAACAAGGTACTGATGCTATTACCTATTAAGTCCCTTAAACCAGCAACAGGGCTTCCTCAGTGGTAGCACCCATTGTGGAATGTCCTCCCCTTTGAGGCTTTCCAGGCCCCTACTTTCGTCCCTTCTGGCTGCCAAGCCAAAATGTTTCTTTTCCTTAGGGTTTTAACTGAAAATTTCATTCTTTTAAAAGGTATTTTATAGTCTGCTTCTAGACTTACGAATACCATTTTAGGCTGCTGGAACGGTTTATGGTTCATTTTTATACTGATAATTATGTTGCTATGATTTTGTGGGTTTTTTTTTTTTACTTCGTGAGCTGCCTTGAGCAAATGTGAGGAGAGGCATCATATAAATGTTCTAAATAATCAAGTGGTGAAGGCCCAATGTATTTGTGGAATCACCAGCTCTCATATTTACTTCATCAAGCCCCCAGACCTATGAGTTCTTCCTGGACTTGCTTTTTGGCAAGACCTTGGGCTCTTTTTGTAGCAGGAACTCCTTTGCATATTAGGCGAAACACACCCCTAATGTAGCCAATCCTCCAAGAGCTTACGGTTAAAAATGAAAGAAAAAACGGGGGGGGGGGGGGGCAGGAGTCTACAAATATTTGTCTGGTTTACTAGCCAGCCTCTATGTGTGCTCGCCTCAGGCATGGGCAGATGGTGTGAGGGAGAGGCAGGGACGTTTCTCATTGCCAAGAGAGCACAAGGGGTTCCTGCTGTTTCTTCTCACATCCAAACCCTCCACTGCAGCGAGATAAGCCTCACCCAACTCTTCCGGCACGCAAACAGGACTTGATGGAAAGGTGAATTTCTCTGAGCTTCCCTGGTATAGGGTGAAGACATTGAACAGCAAGTGGGTCTCCTTCTGTCCCTTGCCGAGCTTGAACCGAAGCACCAGTGAGCGCTCTACAAAGGGAATGTGTACTGTTGGGGGTCCTCCTCACTAGAAGCCTTGGCCCGTGGTGAGCTGATTTGCAAATGCCTGCTTCTTTGAGTTTTGTTTTGGCAGTGACTGGCCACAGCAACACTGATCAATGTGTCTCCTGGTTCCCACTTCCTGCACCACCAAAGCTTATCTTTCCCAAAGCAAAGAGCTGGTCCTGGCTTTCATCCCTTCACTGGGGCAGGGGACACTTCAGAGAAGCCCAGGAGGCGTCACCTTGGTGCCAGCAGGAAACTCCCACTTGGAAGCAGCTTCCTTTGCTGTACTAACATGCATGGCCTGGAGGCTTCTATGATTTTATTTATTCACTTATTTCATTAGACTTACAGCCGACCTCTCCCCCGCGAATGGGCAACATCATGATAAAACCAATATACAATCTAAAACATTCACCGTTCTGAATTTACTGAATACAGTAAAACGATAAAATACAATAAAAAAAACACAACTAACAGGTGGCATAAAATCTCGGGGGGAGTAAGTATCCAAAAACTGTCTGGTATGAAGGAAAAAGGGGGAGGGGAGAAGGCCAATCAAGATGGAAAACAATCACTGCCCTCAACCATACGCCTGGCAGAACAATGTTGTCTGACAGGACCTGCGGAACTGCTTTAGATCCTGCAGGGCCCAGATCTCACCCGGAAGAGTGTTCCACCAGGTCGGAGCCAGGTCCTGGCTTTGGTTGAGGACAGTTGGACCCTCTTGGGGCCTGGGATCACCAGAAGATTGTTATTGCGAGAGTGTAGTGCTCTTTGGGGGGTATACCAGGAGAGGCAGTCCCAAAGGTATGCTGGTCCCAGTTGATTTAGGGCTTTAAAGGTTAGCATCAAGACCATTTTGTGGAGCATCCCATTTTTTAAAAAATCTGATCCAACCCCCATGACCTCCATTTTGGGACAGGTCCAAGTCCCTCACCCAAGGCAGTCTTTTTGTTTTGACGTTCTGCTACCTGCTCTCAAAATTCCAGAAAAAGTTGCACAAGACTGGGGCCCACTGGGTAGCAGAAAACTCTGGAAAGCAACATGTTCTTGCTTTTATGTCAAATGTCGGTTTGAATGGCATGTTTACCCTTGCATTATTTGTATACTCAAAGCAGCATACAAATAAAGGAAGTTAGTAATTCTAAAAATAAAATAAAGGCATTTCGGGAAAAGATTAAAAAAAGGATGCTGTCTATCAGTATTTTTTTCCTGCCTTAAAATGGATGTCAA